TACATACATACATACATACATACATACATACATACATATATATATATATATATATATATATATATATATATAAAATGTATATATATATATATAATGTATATTCTTAGAACAAAGGTTTCCCTTTTATTGTGGCGAAGATGAATTATTTGCAAAACACAGAATTGCATATATTTACTCAGAATTGCATATATTTACTCTTAATATGATTATGTTCATAAGAGACATTGAACAATATTATTGTTAACCTCATTTTAGCCTAATATTTCTGCAAAATCAACCTGTTATTTAGCTTATACTTTATCATGGTGAGCAAGGTAGCTAAGAATTTTTAAAAATATAATAGTTAAAAACATTTATTGCTGGTGAGGTTTTGTATAAATTATTTCCCATAAAAATAGTCAACTCAACTAAATTCTAAACTGAGTGAATGGAAACAACTTTCTTGAAGTAGACAGGTAGTGATATCTAACAATCTTTTTAAGTCCACAAAATAAGATATATAATCTCATTTTTAAGGACTAATTGCAATGAATGGATTCCATTATTTGCAACATAGATTGTAAGCATACATTATTTCAGTGTCATTCATATAACGTCTAATACAATTCTGATACCTTTCACTCACAGATTTATTAGATTGAGACAATTTCAGTGTCATTCCTCTATTATATATTTAACTGGTTTAATGCCTTATAATACTCAATAATGTTCCAATCTCAACAATATTGTATTACATACAATTGTAATATTGTTCATAAGTTACTCTTTGTCTTAAAGGAGAACCAGGCAACTATCAAAGATGCAGCAGAGTTAGACTTAATTTGTAAGTAGAGTCTTTTATTTAAAGAGAGAGAGTAAATAACCTTTTTTCTTTTGTCTAAATCAATTATATTATACACTAAGTTCATTTGATTGATATGTATCCTTTCGTTCATACAATTTAAAAGCAGTTTTACCTTTTTAAGAATAGAAAATTATTCTTCTTTACCTTGCACAATATTCCATTGTTAAATGTTTTGGCAGAAGATGGAATAGACTCCTCCAGCCTATTGTTGGTAATTAAATTTATCAAATAAACAATCCCAAAACAAATTGTTATTGCAATTTAAAATCCAAATTCTTAATAGAATTTGGATCTAATTGCATCACTTATTTCTAATTACATCATTTATTTATTCAGAGATAATACATTGAGGTTTGCCTATTCCCACATAATAGTCAGGATTACAATAGATTTGATACCCGCATTTTATATAGTTCATAGTCTAAATCTGAATTTTTAGCTAATTAATGAGATAATTCCCTTGGATTTGATTTTGATTTGCAGCTTGTTAACGTTTTCAAAAAATTGCACCATCTCTAATAATCTTATGACTTGAAAACACATATTTTAATCTTCTGTTGGATGTTACCAAAACTTATTTATAAGGCAGTGTGGACTGTTTATATCTTCAAAGACAATGAGTAAAGAATAGAGATTAACTCCAATTAATGTGAAAATTTGCTAAATGTAAAAAATAGTAATATTGATATTCCTGAAATTTATTTTATAGAGGAAGGGCTTTGTCATAATATTAATAGAGTTTTTATTAAGTTACTATATTATTAAATTAGTAGTCACTCAGTTTGTAATTTTTTTTTAGACAACTACACCTATCAAGACAAAAATACCTGGATTGTTTACCAAATGACTAGAGAAGGTAAGTGCCCACAACTTACCTTTAGTTATTCTAAAAATAATTGACATACTTTAAATATATTGAAATGTCTTATGTTTTAAATTAATATAGTAGAATTTCCATCACGTTATTTTGAAACATTTACGGTTAGAACAAAAGGTTTTTTTCTTAGCTGAAATAACCACATTTTTATTAGTAAGTTTGATTCAACAACCTTCTGTATTAATCTTCAATTAAATTGATATTAAATGAGTTAAATGATAAAAATGAAGTGAATAGCCTTCATTTACATGTATACCATCCTTTTAGTATTTCTACTGCTTCTGAGTACCAATGTACTCTAGTGGTTAGGTTTAGAATTAAGAGGATAAATTTCAAATATTTCTTCAATCAGTCACATGCATGTAGTCCTCGACTTACAATCACAGTTGAGCCCAAAATTTCAATAGCTAATAGAGAACAGTTGTTAAGTGAGTTTTGCCCCATTTTACTACCTTTCTTGCCATAGTTGTTAAGTGAATCACTACAGTTGTTAAGTTAATAATGTGGTTAATGTGAGTTTTGCCCCATTTTACTACCTTGCCATAGTTGTTAAGTGAATCACCACAGTTGTTAAGTTAATAATGTGGTTGCTAAGTGAAATTAACTTCCTCGTTGACTTTGCTTGTCAGAAGGTCGCAAAAAGTGATCACATGACCCTGGGACACTGCAACTATCAGAAATACGAGCCATGGGGGGTGCTGCAAATGGTTGCAAGTGTGGAAAATAGTCCTAAGTCACTTTTTTCAATGCCACTGTAACTTTGAAAGGTCACTAAATAAATGGTTGTAAATTGAGGGCTACCTGTTCTCAATTCAGCCTACTTGACAGGTTTGTGAAGCTACAATGGATATTTTTGTTTTCCAAAACCTTTAGCTTCTGGGAAATAAGGGAGTATAAGTCAAATAAATAAATACATATTATTGTGATATGAAACTGAAAGAAAATGCATAGCTCAAAAACCAATGCATTTGCCAAAACATAAAGTGAGTTAAAAAATACTCCACCTTAAAGCAGACCTCCCCCCCCCCTCCTATTAATAAAACTGCCTAGTTTTATGGCCAAGGAATAAAAGAAGCTTGCCCTGCAGTTGCCTCCTTATTAATCCCATGCAGTTTCAGCTGTGGCAGCCTGCTTGTTCTAAAGCAAAATTAGCTGTTGTGTGATACTTCAAAGATTGAAATATTAGTTATGTCATCCATCAGCAGTCTTCTGCTTTGCAACCCCCTCATGTAATGAGAGTTTTGGAGGCCTCTCAGAAATATGCAGTAGTCTAAAAACATCTAGAAATCATCAGGTTGGTGAAAGTTGGTTTGTATAAACATGAATGGTCTTGAATCACCTTTACCATTGTTAAAAGTAATGGAAAAATGTAGCCTTCAGTGTAAAAGTAACCCTTTTTTATAAAATATATGCGTTTATTAAATGATACCCATTTTAATATCTCTTATTATTTGCAGATGATGAAGATGCAGTCATTTTTAACTGGACAACTTTCAAAAAGAAATTTAAATGCACTGTTCTATCTGTTTTGAAAAATGTAAGAATAATCCATGAAAATATTTACATTCTAAATTAAAGAGATCATACTTAACCTAATCTACTAAATAATTTAAATGTAAAGCAATTTGACATCAAAAGGGAAAGTACCTTCATTTTTGTTTATAAGTGATCCTTATCTTCTGAACAGGCTATATCTGCATGTAAGGAATAGGTTGACAAACTAAAATGAACTTGATGGTAACATTCAGAAGCTAATCACATATGAAATGTAGCGTATATCATTCTATATCTGACCTAATAGAAGTGATATTTTTAAAATAATTTAACTGTTCACTATAGCTGTGCTGGATACATGGGCTTAGCACTTTTTAACTTAACACACACCCTATTTTTCGGAGGTTTAAACAAGCCACAAAAAAAGGAATTTTTCCCCTTTCTCTTTACATCAGGCAACTATCAGCTTTAAAGAATATGAAGACAATGCAGTGTGGATTCGAATTGCTTGGGGAACTCAATATACAAGGCCTAATCAATACAAGCCAACCTACGTAGTTTACCATTCACAAACACCTTATGTCTTCATAACCAATTCTAAGGTTAAGAGAAATAACACTTTACTTTTTCAGGTAAATATATTTTGCATTTAATTATCTTGATCTTCTTTCAAGGTTTTTTGATATTTTTTGATATAACAAGGATCAATTGATATTTTGGTTTTCTGAACTAATGTATTAAATGTATACATGCTTTAATATCATAACTGTAAAATGGGGAGATGGGAAGAACAATACATTTCAGTTTCAATTAAAGATTGCCTGCATTTTCATTTGAAGGCTCTGTTGGCTGCTACCTGTTACAAAGACATCCATGAAATGGGTCTCCGAAACCATTGCTTAGAGTCTCTTAAAGTTATTTTGTTTAAAAGATTTTCCCAGGTGAGCTGCTTCTCTCTTCTAAGCCAAAATCATGGTTGTGTTGTGTTTTATTTTGTGCCTTTTTCTAAGGGTCCCAATGTGGTGAGTGACTTCTTCCAAGAGAGCTATTATAGTCCTACAAAGCTAGATAGTCTCCCAACAAGGTAAATTTAACCCTGTGGATAGAACTAACATTTCACCTTTTGCTTTTTGAAAAATCCTTCAAGATTCAATCAGTAGCATAACAATTCATTAAATATTTATATTGCTATTATCCTAAATTTAGCAATTGACAAACATTACATTTTAGTTTTAGCTAGCACCACAGCATATGTACGCTTCACATACTATTGAAGAAGGAATTCCAACATGTATATGCAATACAGAGCCATGTGTGCTTCCTTGTTTCTCTCTTCTCCACTTCTGCCCTGTTTTTCTCCTAGTTAAAAAGTTCTTAGTAGCTTCTGTGGGTATTCAGTTAAATGCATAATCATTTTTCTAAATTCAGAATCATATGTATCAGTGTAATAAGATTCAGTACTGAGAAAAACGTGGATTTGCAGGTACAAAACCCATGAGTGTAAGACCACTCTATACGGGTTTTTGCCCATTTTGAAATTCCATATTTGGTCAGGCTCAGAGATTAATGTGTAAACTTACAATATAGTATTTCTGCACTAAAGTTTCCTTTTTTAAAAAGAAAGTTGCTACACAGAGTTTTCTCAGTATTTCTAAACATCATTCATACAAGAAAATGTATACCAACTTAACATTTTGGCATTATTTCTCTGTTCCTTATTTCTTTTTTAGAATTTTCAGACACATCCTCTTCGCCCCCTACAAGAAAAAAACAGTGACCTGGAAAATGGTATTTAAGCTAACTTGTTAACTTGTTTTAAATCAAAATGATTTCTTTAAATTAGAGGTCAATGGACTATGCTCAGTGCACAGCCATCCCTATGGAAGTGCCCTAGGCCTCACTGAGCATGTGCCTTAGGATGTCTAACAGAGGGCGGCTCAGTTATCCCATGGATAACTGATTTCTTAACATTTTTGCATTTGGGGGCAAATGGAATGTAGAATAATAGTGCTAAGTATGTTTTCAGTACACTGATGTGTTTTTAACATTTTTTTCCAGTTGATCCAAGGATAATACTTGAAGATAAACATGAAAAGGAGAGAATTCAAAAAGTTAATCGGGAAACTTTTGGTGATGGTCCTCAACCAAAATTAGAACACGCGCAATACAAGGTTCGTTTCTACTTTACATAGACATTGGCAATGTTTCTTTTGGCCTTTCTATACTTATATTCTGGAGATTCCGTGATTGTTCTAATTTTCTATTCTTAATTAAATTGATTTCCAGATGCTCTGAGCCACTTACAGTATTAATGTCAAAAGTTTAAAACAAAACTCGGGTAATACAACTATAACCAAACACTCCAATGTGCATGGTTGGCACATAATAGCTGATTATACAAAGGCCTTCATGGTTACAACCTCCATTTGTTGTTCAAACAGGAGAGCAATCCCCTCTCAAATTATGAGGGTTTTTCCCTGGATTCACTTAGCTGTTGAGCACCACATTGTATTGGCAGGATTGATCTAAGCCTGTTTCATCCTATCTAGGCCCTAACTGCCTCCATTGCTACCCCTGCTCAGCCAGGATAAAGATATGTTGTTGGATGTTGTTAGTTGCAAAGTCATGTCCAACCCATCGCAACCCCATGGACAATGTTCCTCCAGACCTTCCTGTCCTCTACCATCCTCTGGAGTTCATTTAAGCTCACACCGACTGCTTCGGTGACTATCCATTCACCTCATTCTCTGTCGTCCTCTTCTTTTGCCCTCAATCATTCCCTACATTAGGCTCTTCTCCAGTGAGTCCTTCTTTTCATTAGGTGGCCAAAGTATTTGAATTTCCTCTTCAGGATTTGGCCTTCTAAAGAGCAGTCAAGGTTGATTTCCTCTAGGATTGACCGGTTTGATCGTCTTGCAGTCCAAGGGACTTGCAGGAGTCTTCTCCAGCACCATAGTTCGAAGTTGTTGGGTATGATTAGCATATTGATAAAAGAGAGAATGTCATCCTGAGTCAATACATTGCAGGGTGAAAATGTCTTCATTGAAGATTATGGACTGTAATCTACACCCAATGTTTCTCAAACTCAATGGTTTGAAGATGTATGGACTTCAACTCCCAGAGTTCCCCAGCCACCAAGGTTGAAAAACACTGATCTACATACTGCCAGTATGAAGTGCTACATACATGTCTGTCTTCCCAAGCTTAAGACTTAATACAATCAATAACAATGCTGAATAAATTAGTGTATTTAAATTAAAGTTCTGCTTGTTTTGGGTTGTGTATTAGAACTAAATATTTTTTTCCACAAGAGGGCACCCTTTGATTTTTCATGTACATATTTCTTACAATTGTATTTAATATTGTAATAATAAATTAGTCTTGAATAAAATAGTGACAGTATATGAAAATGAAATCTGAATAGATGCCGGGCTTTAGTTAATCGGATTAATTTTGCAATTATTGTTTTGGAGGGGGAAAACCTTGCAATTTTTGGGAATGTTGACTAGAGTTATGTAAGAATACTTCTGGTACATTTGAAAATGTCTTGATAATGAAGCAGCTAAGATATTTGAGTTGGATCAGGTCAGGAAGATTAAGGTTCATGTTCTCATTGTCAGAAATCACAGGTAATTTGGGGGTCATTTTTTTAAAGCTCATCGCAACTCATAAGATTGCTGTGGGGATCAAATTGGGATAACCTAATATGTTGAGCTCTCTGCCATATTGGGCCAAAGATGAAGGGAAGTAAATTTAGAGATTTATGGCCTAAATGTGATTTATTCTATTTTTTGTTTGTTAGCTATATGTATCTCTTAAAGGCTATTTCTGTGGGGATTTTGCTGCATTTTATCCCCATGACAGCAACCATGCGAATTAGTTTGGGCTTAGAATGGGGCTGGTCCAAAGTTATCCAATGACTTTTCATGACTAGAAGAGGATTTGAATGTGAATCTCCCTGGCCTAGGCCAGAACCTTAACAGTCATAACAGACTGATCTATTTACAGTTTCTGGATTTTGTTTGTTGTTATTACAGCTTGAAACAGTGTTTAAAACTGAAGAAAGAAGCATCCTGAATACTGATCAGCCATTTAGATGTACCATCAAGTTTTCTAGTCCTCATCTTCTAGAAGCCCTTAAGTCTCTAGGGCCCTCTGGTAAGTATTGCAATTATGGTAAAAACCTAAACACCACTATTATATAATATTTTTTACAGAATAAAACTGCCTATAAAACCAGTGATTCATACGTCTTTCCATAATGACGCATACTACTCATTTGACTTCCTTCCTTGCCCAACCAATTTAAACTATTTTAAATACTAGTGTGGGGATGGTTGGGCTCATCCTAATTAACGTCTGATGAAATAAATTCTACTATAGGCTGCTCACTATAGTAGCCTCTTTTAAATTTCTTGTGTGAATGAGCAGATTTAATGCATGCAGAATTATATTTTAATTCTGAATGGATAGAGTATCTGAGTTCTCCCATTTTGATTTTGCATCTTGCCAAAATCTTACAAGACTTAAACAAATTTTAGCAAAATCTCAAGCATAGTTTCAGACATTAAAAATAAATAAATCACAAGCATGGTAGGTGAAAATGTCATGTTGCCAACCCTTGCCTGAAACAGATTTTGTTCCCAAACCATTGTGACATGCTGTTATGTATGGATTTATGCAGTGCTATTAAAAGACATCAAATTCCTGAACTTCCAGGTTTACATACACAGCTGTAAGTAATCATATATTGATTTTTATTATGTTTTTTATACTAGGAATAGCAGACGCTCCTCTTTCACCACTACTCACCTGCATCACTCGAAAAGCCAGGAATTATTTTAAAATCAGAGAGAAAAAAGATGATCTTTCACAAACCAATAATACCTTTCAAGTAAATTAAAGAACAAACAGAGACAGATATGGACTCTCTCTCTCTCTCTTAACTTTGTGAGATTTTGTAAATAATTATCAGTGAAGGTTTGTGTATTCTTACCATGTAATTAAAGCACCACTAAAAATGACAACTTGATTTTAAATATTTCAGTTAACTGATGCAAATGGGAGAAATAAGCCTATATACTTATTTATAAAATTGTAATGATGACATGTAATTTTCAGAAAAGGTTAGATAACAAAGCAGTTAAATTTAACTGCTAGTCAGGATGACAGCATTCTATGCTGGAATCAGCCTCTTACAAAATAATATCCCCAGGAGAGCCATAAGCAAAGGAAGAGGAAGAATCTTTTCATCTTTTACTAATCTTTCCTTCCATTCTGATCTGTTGAACATAAAGTTTACTTTTCATACTAGTTTGGAAGATGAATAGCTTGTATTCTATTTGACATTAAGGAAACGACAGGGGCCCTTTTCCATGGCCAACATCAATATACAGGCTTACATGTTTGTTAAAAAAGTATTTGGGTTATTCTAATAGGCTTATTTATACACCAGTGCAGATGTTATCAATGCTCAGTCAGTATTGTCTAATTAAAAATGAAATGTTAATCTGGTGTATATAATCCAGTTATTTTAATTGCTTGTTTTGGAAAAGTTGCTGTGAAGACAGAATGCACTCTATAAAAACATTGACATAAATGTTTGATTATACTAAATTGAATTTTAAACTGAAATGTTTAGTGAATCATGTATATTTTTAATAATTTGGCTTTATATGTAGTTTAGTTTTATTAGTTTTTTTATTAGTTTTATTAAACATTTATAGGCCGCCCTTTTCCCTGAGGGGACTCAGGGCGGCTTACAATAATAGNGAGAAAGGGAGGGAGGGAGAGAAAGAGAGAGAGAGAGAGAGAGAGAGAGAGAGAGAGATGCTTATCTGAGTTACATCACTATCCCAACGTTTCCCAAAGCAATGTTTAGCTTTCTTCAAAATCTTTTTTGCAACTTCCAACCCAAACACCAAGATTAGGGCAAACCCTTCTGCATTTTTGAAGTGTGGATTTATTCAGTGCCCCCTCCACCCCAGATTTGCCAAGAGTGAATTACAGGCCATGAGACTTTTCACAGTTCTTTCAGCCTAAATCACCTGTGTACAAGGCACATGATTACCCCCCCACCTTAATTAAACACACATGCAACACTTCCAAACAAACCTTCAATTTCTATCCTGCCCAACATCTTCTCCTTAGTCCCCTTGTGCTTAAATATTTCTCTTACTATTTAATTTCACTTGATTACTCTGTTTTGTGTTTGTTATTCCCCCTCTGCCCTCTCTAGTTATGTGATATCTATTTCTCCCTCTCCCTCTCTTTCTCTCCCTCCCTCCCTTTCTCTCTCTCTCTCTCTCTTGTCAGAAATTTCTTTTCCACTGTGTAGGCAGGAGACAGATTTTTTGCGGTCCTAATTTTCATCCCTCCATTCTTTCCTTTTGTACCTTCCCATCTCCTCTTATTCTCCTTTCCTAATCCTCTTCTCCTTTTCTCTCAACCGCTTTCGTTCCCTTTTCTCCTCCCTCTTTCAGTCTCTTACCCCCCCCCCCCCACAATCTATTACAAATAATGTCTCTGGAATGATATCACAGCCTAGTGCCAGGAGCCATGCATGTTATTCAAGGTAAGGACTTATTTTAGCATTTGCTATTTGCAGGGATCGCTGTTCGGGTAGATTGCTGGCTTTCTTAAAGTAGACAATCTCTCTCTCATTTTTTTTTCCCAGTGCATATTTGTACAGTTACAAAAGAAATCCTGGACTCGGTGTAATGTTGCTACCTGTTGGGGAGCAATGGAAGTCTTCGGGAGTGTGTGTGGGGGGTGTCTGCCTTTAGATGGAAAGGAGCTACATTTTTCTTTTTATCTCGTTGTGGTCTGAATGTGTGCTGAATTCCATCCCTGCCTCAGAAGCTTTTGTTTTATCATTTCTTTGATGATAGTGGTAGGAACTCTGGAAAATCTATATTGCTGCTTGCTACTAATCTTACAAAGGTGGGTAGAAAAACAGGAGCATGACCGGAGACAGTAAAGCTGTAGCTCTTCCGTGATTCTTTCTTAAAGATTTGTCCTGGAACATTTTCTCTATTGTACAATGTGAGTAAATTCTTTCTGATTCTGTGTAATGGGTCTCTGCTCCCTTCTGCAGATACTGAATGCCATGCATTTTTCTTTCTCTGTGTACACTTAGCGTGATTTTTTAGAGAAGTTTTAAAAGAGGAACTTTTCCATGGGTGCTATACCACTGGGACTTCAATCTGTTCTGGCTGGAGAAAGTTTCTTTTCTTTTTTTTAAAGGTAGCCCTCATGCATGTGGGAGATTGCTCAGGTTTTTTTTTAAGGTGGACCCTTTTAAAGTGTGCTATTGTTAACAAACCTGAAGGCTCAGAGTGACAGCCAGACAGTTAGTTGCTAGGATTATTTTTATTACCTTTCAAAGGACTTTGTGAAATGAGCAGAGAATGGTGAAGAATGGTTCTTAACTTAGCTGTTTAATGTCTATTGCATGATTTTGCCAACTCCTCCTTCATCACATAGCAATTAAGTTGTTGCTTTCTTCTTGCACATCTGTCCTCCTCTGTTTTCATTCACAATTTTTGGATGCTCAGAGTGAGCTTTTCAGATAATTCCCGGCAAACCCCTGCTTTTGAGTCTGGTATAAAAGATCCCAATATACCTAACCCAAATATTTTCCTCTTTTGGCGTGAATCAGTGTTTATTTGCTCCCTCCTCTGCTTACTCAAGGATGGACAGTAGTAGGGTATGATATAGTGATATTCTGTAGTCATAGTAGCACAATCACGAAATGTTTTACTCGTATTTTGATTGAATTGACTCATTCTGACCTTTCTCGGCTGAAAACGCAAGATTTATTTTCCCTGAACGCTGATTAGCGAAATCCTGTGTTGTCTTGTAAAGTTGCTGCTTTTATTAAAACATAAGGTACGGATTTGGTAAAATATTCATCAACTTATAAGGGATAGAGATTTGGCATATCTTAATCTTGTTTCTTTTTTGGAGCGCTGCGTGTATGCTTTTTGCGGTTTAATGCTACGCCTGCACACGGTGTTTTTTAAACAATGGAGCACTTACTGGTACCTCTTGCAAACCTGACTAAGGAATTTGCTTAAGGTGAAGTTTGGACACCTGAAGAGCATGCCCCTTCAAAACACAAAAGAGTTTTTCTGTGACAAATTCAGTTTGGCACTGGCAATTTTTTTTACTCCCCATCTTGATACCCCTCATCTAAATAGCCAGCCCTGTGGAGAGGCACAGAGAAACCAATTGTTTAGCTTTAAGTATAAAATCTAGAGTTGGCTAACTATACAGTTGATGCAAGATGTCCTGTGTGCTGAAGTCTTAAATTCAATTCAGTGCCTGGCATTTTTAGTTGAGAACATTAGCAGATAGCCAGACTGATTTCATTTCAGATCTATTTAGCTGTTCAGAGGAAACAACAATAACTTGGACGAACCTTTCCGATCTTGATAGCCTGCCCTTTAGGTGTTGGTGTAAAACTGATAGGATTTTCAAAGGCTTCTAGAGAGTATCAAATTTGGAAATCTTAAATAATCTGAATCAGTATAAGGCAACAACAAGTACCTTACATTCTTGGGGAAAGGATTGCACTGAATCTTTAGCTTTTAACTATTATTACTTTCCAGGCTGTACAAGAAATGTATTCCTAATCTTATTCCACAGCACTTATTCCGTTCCTACATATTTAAATCATCCTTTTTTTTGGGAAGCTATTTCTTGAGCGCTTCCTCTTATTGAATTAAATAGCTTGGCTAATTAATTAGCTTCCCACATCTTGAAAGTTGTCAAGGGAGAACAGATCCATTATTTCTGCTTGGAAGGTGTAAAAGCTACTGTTTCAAGATCTACTTCCTGTAACCCTTGGTTTTTGTCCTTATTTATGTCAGTGAAATTATATTATGTGAAATTATATGTTTGTACGCATTTGTTAGGAAATAAAGTTCCAAAAGTTGATTAATATATAGCACAGATAATCTCAATAGATAAAAAGGTCAAATCAACACGGCTTATCCTCATCCTGTTCCTCAACAGGCTCCTAGACTATATTTTTTAACACAAATGTGTTGTGGGCCAGCAGGTGCTGTTGAAGCTGCCACCAGACTCCGACAGCGAGGGGCCCTCTGAGTCAGTGCTGGAGGAGGTGGAGGGCCCTGGACAGGGTTCCGACTCCAAGCAGGGCGCAGAAGGGCGCCTGAGTCTTGGACCAGTGGGGAGGAGACAAGGGAGAGTGAGCCGGAGGTCAGTAGTGAGTTGTTCCTGGATGCACGCCNAAAAAACATTCTCATTTACGTTGGTTTTGGCGTTCGTTCCTGGAAGGAGAAGGGGGCGATTAGAACACATACATATATGTAAAATGATGGGAAAAATATTTCCTTCCAAGCAACCTTCTTGCTGGTTGGCCTGCATTTCTCCACCTGTTGTAAGAGTGAAGTAAGTCTTCTGCCTTGAGATAAATAAATAAGTAATTCAAATGTGATTATTAATAACTGGGAAAGAAATCCTCTTAGATTAAGTGCTTGTCTTGATTTCCCAAGGCTGCCTTCTCTGTCCTCCCCCGATATTTCTCAAAGAACAGTTGGATGTCATGTCTCTCATTTGCAAATGTTACTCCTAGAGCTCTGTAAAACCAAAGCTGGTAGGAGGGGGAAGGTGAATGGAACTAGAACAAAGAGTACATCGCAAGAAAGGAACTGTGCTTTGGAAGAAACAAGGGCATTTGGAAAATGGAATAAGTGTTTACTCACTGTGGTTTCCTTGACCTTCGAAACTTAAAGGCTTATCCTGGAAACTTAAAAACAGACACAGTTCCTGATGAAAATACTCTTGGTTATTGTAATAATATGGGCGTTGGTAAGAGACGTAGCTATTGTAAATGTATAAAATCAAACACCTTTAAATTGGAAACGGATACTTTCA